GATTGACGTCTGTATACGTGCGTCTGTAAACCCACCCTCGAGCATGAAGAAAAAATCGCCTGCATTCGTGAATTCTGTTTATGCATATGGTGGGGAGGTAGTCACTATTAATGGAGCGACGTTCTAGTTCTCTTTATGCTAACCACGAAGATGTATAGTAAGGGTAACTGATTGGCTTACAGTAAACCTTCAAACTAGCGTAATATAACCACATTTAAACTCTAATTTAACGAAAACAATAAGATACTTATTTTTGGCCATTTTTAAAAATAAAGTTGTCTGAAGGTTAACTACAGAATTTATAGTACACTGTAGTTAATGTGTTATAGGTTGTAAAACTGTATTGAGTAAAAAAATGTATTCAACTTTTAATCTGAGAGTGCCATTTCCGGCCATCTAGAGGTGCCATAATCATAATTTTTCTTACCTCAGCCCCAACAGTTGTGGGGCTGAGGCGGGTGGACATTCTATTTACGCAAGACTCTCCCTGGAACCCCTCTATTTCGACTTCCTGGACCCGCCACAGTTGGAGTATCATTTCCGAGCTACATAGAAGAGTAATTTTTATCCATCAGGGGAAAAGTGAATTTTTCGTCGGGGAACCCATATCAAGGATAACCCTCATAATAAAAAAAATCATTGAGGTTGTGGAAGCAATCTCGACTTCGCATTTGTTCGGAAACTGTCTCTATACACATCTAGATGTGTATAAGAGAGTGGGGAGGCTAAATTGTTCAATTTTTTTAATGGAGATGATAAGGAAAATTATATTCAAATTTTAAGTCTAAGAGTGTAATTTCCAGCCATCTAGGTGCCATAATCACAAATTTTCTTGCCTCAGCCCCAACCATGGTGGGGCTGAGGTGGTATAGATTCTCAATCTGCTGAAGTACCCAGTGTCGGATTCAAAGGGGACCCAGACGGCCCGCCCCCACCCTCCTTAATTTTTCAATAAATAAATGGAGATATAAAGATAATTATATTCAAATTTTATGTCTGGAAGTGCAATTTCCGGCCATCTAGAGGTGCCATAATCACAAATGTTCTTACCATGGTGGGGCTGAGGTAGTATGGATCTTCTATCTGTGAAAGTACCCTCCCTGGGCCCTTCTATTTTGAATTCCTGGATCCGCCACTGGCAATTAACAAATATCAAATCATATTACAGTAACTTGATGCCTATAAAATAACTTATAAAATTCACCAAACTTCTAGGCTGGGGGCCTAGAAGTTTGGGGCTGGCCCCCAGCCTAGATGCTCGCTTCGCTCGCATACTTGACCTTATTAGATGCCACCCCCCACTTTCAGAAACGTTCCGCCGCCGTTGACTTAAGAACAGATGCCTTTTAACTATATAGACAAGTCTTGCGAATCATATCCTAATTTGAGTAAGGACAAAAAGTTTGTGACGATTTACCGTCCTGACTCGTGCACAGCTCTGGAAGAATGATTGTAGCGCCATTATTTTAAATGGTTTACCATTATTGGCATACTTTGAATATCTATTTATGTAAAAAAAACAATTTTACAATAATAGGCGAGAATTTGTCACGCTACAAGAGCAGCACATATGAGAATTCATTATTGAAATTACGTTAGTACAGCGAGTGAAACAGCAGCAGAGTATTCAGTATGTAGTACAGTAGGTAAGTAGAACGTTCCACTTTGGTAAGTTTTTTAGTAAAATTATAGTCAAAAACGTAGCAGTATTCAATATTATGAATATTCTTTCTTTTAGCTGCAAAATGTGTACAATTGTTGGGTAAATAGTCAGCAGTTCTTTTTTCTTCTGGTGGGGGTGGGGGTAATCATTTATGAGAATAATTTTTAGGCTAATATTTGGGCTTTTAAGTTCAAAAGATTAGAGGGTGGCAAGACAGAAGACGGTTCCTCAAGTCATTTAAACTTTATGTTACTTATACCGGAGTTCCCTTCTTTCTGAACCCCCTCCTGCAAATATCTGGACCCGTCCCAGAACCTCACAGTCTCGCGACAGGCGGCCGAGGCGGCTGTTTCGTGAGTAATAGAATATTTGGGTTATTAAGGTCAGCTTCTCATTTTGATTGAATTCTACATGGTTCTTTGGTGTATTTAGTAATCGTTTATTTATATGCTTAGTCTGTATTTTAAAAAAGGGTACTCCGAATTTGTTCCATTGAGGTTGTGATTGTTTCCCGTCTGGTTAAAACTTTAAACATTATACGTTGTTGCAATCAGCAACTGGCATTGCTGATTGCTGATAATATCCTTTTCCAATCAGAAATCCAATTGTGTCTGTACCATAGTCTCGTTATTAGTCCATTAGATGTAACAATGCTATTACACATACCAATATCCTTGATTTTAACAAAACCTGATGCAATCCATGATTTAAAGAATAATGATTGATTTTTTAATAAAATGTGCTTGTTAATCCAGAGAAACTGTGCACACTTTTGTATATAGGCCTATGCATCAATATTTTCTAAACAGGAATTGTTAAATTTACACAATGAATACAGTATATTTATGTACAATTTATTTGAATATAACAGTTTATACAACTACTGAAATATACTCACGTCGATTAACAGCTTTCACAGTTGCATTGAAGCCTCTGTCGGGTACAATTTCATCTGTTACCAATACGACCCACAATTCGTTACTCTCAGAATATACGGAGTGGAATTTTACGCCCGTAAAACTGATATCATTTATGCTTTCAGAACTTATATTCAAATAATCATATCCATCTTCAAGTTGAAAGTCATTGAAATCGAGCAGTATCGCCAGATCCTCTGTAACATGTATTGTCCATCTACAATTTAAGTTATTGTAGTAATTGTTCGGGTAATTTGGAGAGGAAAACGATTGTGATTGACCAGAAGTGTTCATGCGTATAAACGATGGTTCACATTCAACTGAAAATGAAATACGTTAAAACTGTTAAACACATGATCATTCTGTGGAGGCACCACGGG